ATTAGAAGCTCATGTCTCGTTACCATTTTGATCAAACAATGGCCAGCAAAGTTTACTCTAGTGTCTTTGGAAAGCCGGGTAAAATGAGTGAGATGTCCATGACCTCCTAACTCAGTATAAGATCTTCGATGTAAGAGTCCAGTTCATTCCAGGTTTCCCTTATATCCGATTTCTTCTGTTGGGGGGGGGATATATACATTTATCACAAGTAGTCTTTCATTGTTGATAAGAACCCGAACTGCCATAGCACGCTCTTTTAATGAGTCTAAATGTACACAATTCACTCTGAGGGCTGTAGAAATTAAGATACCCAAGCCCCCTTTTAGTCTGCCTGGCCCCTTTCCTGGTATAGCTGCATTTGTAAAAGAATGGTAACCATCAACTAGAAGTTCATGAGCAGACCACGTCTCTTGAAGTAAAAGGATGTCATATCCCTTTCGCAGGGGAGAGGAGCCCAACCCTCTTATGCGGGACCAGCCGGCTACATTCCATGAGATTATTTTGAGGGAATTCTCCTTCCCCAATTTGCGCTGCTTTACCAGTCATACTTCCATAGGATCCGCATGCCGTGTTGGAGCTTTCATTTCCTTCACTATTGGGGGATCTTCAGAGATCCTGCAGAAGAAGGGGTCATCTGATGGCACAATCAGGTTGGAGCCGTTATTCCCCTTCTTTATCATTACAGTAGGCTCCAGAGGACAATGGCCCGATGGCTCTGTCTCAGAAGGTTTTGCATGAAGTTTTGCTGTCTCTCTGGGTAGACCCATGGACATGGGAGTTCCCTTCGATGTCTGTCTTAGGTCTTTAAGTGTGGTGATCAATGTATCTAGCCGGCATAATATAGAATCCTGGTCCTCAATGGGCAGTGTTGTGAAAGAAGAGAGAAGGTTGGCCTCAATCTCTGCTCCCGTTTCTAAGGGTTCCCTGCTTCCCATGATTGTCCTTTCTCCTCTGTTGTCTTCTGCAACAGTCTTAGCATCTAGATTATCTGTTGGAATCCCTTTTCTCTGCATTTCCATAGGTGAGGGTAAATTAGAGGGAACAGGTAGATCCAGAAGAACCTGAGAATTGAGTGGTTTAACTGGTACTCTGGTTTCCAAGGTCTTTATGTTAA